CAGTGTCACACCACATTACCCATTTAAATGAGTAGCAAAAACAAGCCATCTAAGAACCTGTTTTGTTCCTAATTAGACTGTTTTGAGATCTGCCCAGGGGCATGTAGGACAGTCCTGTTGTGGAGTGAGCGATTTAGTGCTTTCTGCTCTGTGTTTGTGAGAGTATCAGGGTTAGGGCTGAAGGGAGTCTGTTGAGGTGAAGGTGATAATGTGTGAATCCTCCCTCTCTGCAGGTACAGAAACAAGGGTTGGAGGTGGGAGATCATGTGATCGTGCTGTGACAACAAACTCATCACAGCCAGACCATGGCTGAAGACTAATAAAAAGATACCCAGAATGCCTTGATTTGGCTTCATTTTTCCACCTACCACTACTTCACAAGCATGTTCACAGAGTATGCACATACTACTGCTTGACCTGCAGAGGACAACATGGAGTTGTCTTCACACTGTACTTCTTGAAATGTAAGATTTACGTAGTAACAAAACGAAAACTGACAGACTTCTCAGACTTCTCCAATCATTTAATCCACCCTCCACTCCAGAAACACCCATTTATTTTTAAGTGCAACACCGACATCTCAGAAATCCAGTCAACAATTATAGAACCAAGGGTCCCACTTTATATTAAGTGGCTTTAACTACTATGTACTTACATTTAAATTAATCATTTAATACAATGTAAGTATTGTGTACATACATGTTTTTACATTGTACTTGTATTTGAAAAAAATACCTGCATGCAATTACATCTGTAACTAATTTCTGTAATTACATTTATAGTTACACTGTTGACCCATCCCTTACACCTTAACCCACCTTTAAACCTATACCATCAAACCTGTCCCTAAACTTATATCCCACCACAATAGCAGCAGAATGTTTTGCAATACAATATGAACACAATAAGTACATTGTACTCAGTCATTTTTGATGAACTGTACACTCTAAAAAATACTGGGTTAAATACAACCCAATTGCTGGGTTTGTCCCTATTTTACCAAGCACTGGGTTGCATTTAACCCAGCATTTTTTACAGTGTATGTTTTGTTCTGTTTCGGCAGAATGCTGTAAAGTGTTTGAGAAACAGCTGCATGGTCACCCTGATTTATCTCTTAGCATGTCCACACTGGGTTGTATTTAACCCAGCATTTTTTAGAGTGTAAGTACATAGTAGTTAAGGCAACCTAATATAAGTGGAACCGAACCAAGTCCTCGCCCTATGTATATTTTTTTTCTTTTTCCAATAATCCAATAGCCTATACGTGGATGTATGTCACGATATGGAAGAAAAGATCTATTGCTACTTCTGTTTTATTGTGCACTCTAAAAAATGCTGGGTTAAATATAACCCAGCGCTGGGTTAAAAAGGGACAACCCCATCTATTGGGTTGTTTTGACCCAGCGGTTGGGTTCAAAACATCCCAACCGCTGGGTCAAAACAACCTTACAACCTTAATTACCAATTGCACAGATTCCAGTTATTTCCATAGTATTTTTTCATTCTGTATAATTTAAAATCAAATCCTACTGTTTATTGTAAACCGCTGTGGGTGTCATTGATACTTTCACATCCCACTGTAATCTTTTAACTGGATCTGTATTTTTACAATCCCAAGGACCTGAATTAATTCATCTTTTACCAAAGCAAATGTTACATACTGTATTAGACAAGCAAAGCACTGAACTAGCTTTTTTCATCTTTTCAATCACATTTCAAAATTTTAGATTGCAGCATTGTTAATAATTAATCACTTGTTTTGTATTTTACCTTTATATGCAAGTCAGCTTTGAATAAATGTATGTATCTGCTAAATAAATACATTGTTCCTTAAATTGTGCTTTAATAGCTGACTCTCAGAATGCAAGTTCACAAAACCTGAACAAAAAAGCTCCCTTATTTAACTGTTTATTTTTTCTTTGTTAAAAAGTTGTTGTTAACCATATGGGGAAAAGCGAGAATTGCTTTGTTTCTCACAAGACAAGCATGTGACAAGATAACGATAAATCCCTAGCAGCTACCATTCCCACATCCCACTTTGGTGGGGCTTCCATTGGGAGAGCCTGGGAGGAAAAAAGGAAGTCTGGGAGACATGCCAATTCCCTCATCCAGGAATGAGCCAGCAGATGCATTCACATATCGACCAGTGCATTAATTACCAACACTTTTCCTGTTGTTGTACAGGGCAAGGCCAACTGGAGCATGTAATGGCCTAGATGGCCTTCTGGGAGAATGGGATATTATGGGAATATCGCATAGCACAACTGGGAAGACACATGAGTATGGGCCATATTTTAAGCAAATTGCCTTTATTATTTGTATAATTTACCTGATTATCATGTGAGTATGTGGTAAGTTTTGTGTACCCAGTCAGCCTGGTTACCTCTTTCAATATCATTATTAGCCTCCAAACTACTAGGTAAACCTTTGGGAATTCATAACAGCTCTCACTTTCTCTAACAAGCTTGAAGATTTTTATTTCATTCCAGTGTTTTATTCATTTATTGGCTTATATTTTGTCACTGCATAAACAAAACTTCATACTAAATGATGGATTTACAAAATAAACTAACGGACACAGGGGCAAACATGTACACAGACAAATCATCTGAAAGCCTCAAGAGAAGTTTGCCACGTTTTCTGACATCTCATGGGGAAGACCAGCTTTCATCAGTTTCACTAGAGCTCTGAAAGCGTTGCCATGACAACTTATTCCCAAGACATACACTGTAAAAAGCAGCATCTTGCCTGCCAAGGACATGAAAATATCAGGTGCCTTTGGGAACCAGCACAAACATCTGCCAGATGACAACAGGATAACAACTCTCTCTCTCTTTCACTCTTTTGCTCTGTCTTTGTCTCTCAGTCTCATGCTCCCACACACATGCAGGAACAATAAACATAAAGATTGTCTGAGGCATGTCCATTGTGTGTTGGGTAAAGCCTGCAGTTCATTCAGATGTATGACTCTTTTTTTTTTTATTAATTCAGATGTGCTGAATAGTTGATTCACTGATCACTTAAAATGCCAAAAGGCTGACTTGCTCAGGTCTGATTCAGAGCTCTTCACAAACACTTCAACACATCATTAACCAATATACAAGTCATGTCAGGAAATGGCATAAATAATAAGCAAAGAATTAATATCCAATTAAATATTATTGTGTGCCACATTATTACAAATATTTTGGTGTGTGTTTTCATCATCCAAATGAAGTGACATTTGACAAAATGTCAAAGCGTGTCATCTTTAAATAGCAAATAAAGTAACGTTTTGTGAATATTTTTTACAATTAAAGGGGTCATATGATGCTGCTAAAAATAACATTATTTTGTGTATTTGGTGTAATGAAATGTGTTTATGCGGTTTAAAGTAAAAAAAAACGCATTATTGTCTTTGCAAATTTACAGATCTTCTTTATGCACCAAGAGTTTGTAACAATCCAAAGAGAAAGAAAAAAATTAAATTGCATCATATGACCCCTTTAAAGGACAAAAAATCTACTGGTACTGTATGGTCATGTATGGTTCTTGTAGTAAAAGATTTGTACTTCTGTAATGGCACACTTGAACACTCCCCTCTTCTTTGAGAAGTTCAATGTGTTCTAATCACAGAAAAAGGTAATTTAATTCATTGGTTTCTGACATAAATCCACTCTACTTCTAACTGTACATCGACATTCCTTGACTCGTTTATCAGCGTTTAGTAGCCTAGGGTGCAATACTCGGATCTTGGCAGTGGTCCTGGTCCATTTTACTCCTATTAAACAGGCATAAAACAAACAGGGCAATCTCATAATTGTCCAAACCAGACTTTCCTTGTAATTGACATATAGAATGCATAAAATCCTCTTGACCCCATCTGGCTGACACTTTTATCTAAAGCAACTAACATTGTATTGAAAGTAGACGCACATTTTATCAGTTCTGGCATTCCCTGTGAATCGAAACCATGACCTTGGCATTGCCAGAGCCTTGCTCTGCTGTTTGAGCTTCAGGATTCAACAATTACTGTACACATTACAACAGCTAATGCCCACTGTAAAAGTCTGTCAGGACCAAAAAATGTTTAACACATCTAGCATCTCAAGTGTTGTCACTCAGACCTCCTGAGCAATATGATGTTATCGGCCTTGTGTGTCTTATCTCAAAGTAGCATGGACACATAAATAAATAAAAGCCTTTGCTTCGTGATGTATTCTCTTTAATGTTCTCCCGGAGTGATTAATTTGTGCACGAGCACGCCCGCGGCAGAGAAGGGAGCTCACGGCGCGTGGCACAGCAGTACTGCAGTCAGAGGAGCTGTCGATCAATGCTACATGCAAGACGCCTGGAATGACTGCACATGTTTTCCCCAGGGTGACCCAATTTAGTTGCTTCAGTTTGATGTATCACTAACAACGCTACAGTAAATGCAAGACTTATAATTTCATCAAACACGCAGTCAAATATATAGACAACCAGTTGCTTTTTTTTTGGCACAAAAGCAACTGTTCATTGTGATCAGCTTTTCAAAAACATAAGTGTTTCATGGGTCAAATAAGGATGTTGAAAATTATAAAAAGGAGAGGTCTTTTAAAAACAATATTAAAATGCATAGGCCAAGTCATGTATTATCTTTCTAAACATATTTCATGCATTTTAAAAAATGTAGCTTAAAAATAATTTATAACATTTCCAATAAAAAAAATTTAAGTAAAGTGAGTGAGTAACTTGCATTGAATCTTAAATATATGCATGCAACTATCATTACTTAAAAAAAGACATTGACCTGGAAAAAGGTTTAAAAAAAAAACTTAAGTATCTCTACAATTACCCTATCAATTTCGGTCAGAAATCTTGGTGTAATCTTTGATGACCAGCTGACCTTCAAAGACCACATCGCAAAGACTGCTCGATCTTGCAGGTTTCCATTGCACAACATCCGAAAGATCAGGCCCTTTCTAACGGAGCATGCTGCACAAGTTCTTGTCCAGGCCCTTGTCATTTCTAGGCTGGACTATTGCAATGCTCTTCTGGCGTTTAGTCATCTCAAGTTCCTCGTCTCCGTCCCCTGAATCACCCAAACCTTCTGTGTCCATCTCATCGTTGCCCATTTCAGCTGGCCCTCCACCGAAACTGTCCAGTGCCTCCTCGGCCTCCCGGTGCTGCCGGTACGTCATCCAGCAGCAGGGCTCCACATCTGTCTCATCGATGCCCCAAAAGGCCAGCTCTTCCTCATAAAGAGGGCCACAAACATCAGCGGGGCAATGCAACTTGCCAGTCCTATAATAATTGAGAATGTGTGCAAAAACTCCGGGGTGGCGATCAAAGAAAAACTCGTCGATCTGGGCGTCATAGTCAAAGTGACTGTGGGCATCGGGCTCGGCGAGCCAGGCTAAACGAGTGCCGGGGAGAGTGCGCAGCGTGCTGCGGTAGGTCTTGTGTCGAATCCCTCCCACGTTAATCACAACACGGTCTTTCTCGTCGCCCTGGCCCATCTCGTCGCTTAGGCATGTCTCGAGCCCGGGCCAGGCATTACAACGCTGAAAGTCCCGGAGGATACATGTGCGCAATTGTTAGGCAACAGAAAAAAGAGAGTGAACCGAATGAACGCAGAAAAACAGGTGCGCAAAGGCAGCTCAGCTGAAGGAAATCGCTGCATGAGCGCTTGATGTTCTTGTCAGGTGAATAAGGGATTGCCTCCAGATGCCAAGAGAAAATGAGAAAATAAAGACTTTAAATGAATGCAGAGGTTGTCATGAATTTGCGCTCCGCACCATGAGGTCCGGAGAAGGTGCGAGGCTGGTGGCTTGTGGTGCACCGCTGGTGGCAGATGTGTGTGTGTGGTTCTGAACGGACAGCTCCAGCGCGCACACACCCTCCTCTCTCCAAAACGAGACACATGCACTGCCCTGATTCCCAGTGGACGCCTCCTCAAATCCGACAATAAGTGACTCACATTTTAAGCGTTTTTTTTTCGATATAGCATCAGTCGTTTTCTTCAAAGAATATCCAGATACTCATTTTCACACGCAGGTTGTTGACAAACACGACAGACATCACATCTAGAAAATGCTTTGCCACTGAATATGTAGCTACACTCATACAGGAGACGTCAGCTTTGAAGTGGAAGAGGACAGGTCCTTCAGAAATCTTTTGTCTCCAGTGTCCAGTTTGGCGACGTCCTCCGGCGTTTGTTCGGAAGTGATCGATCGTATTCTCTTTATTTCCACCAAATGAATATTTTCAGTCTCCCTTTCCGCGCGTGCCTGTCGACGAGAGTGGAGCGAGGCTCGTCATTCCTGCGGAGAGACAACATGAGCCTCCTCTAGAGGCCACCGACGCGCATGCGCAATTGCTGAGTGTGATGAGCCGACGCGTGCACTAGATCAGATATTGGGATGGTTTCAGACGGTGGAAAGCTCTATTCAAAACGACATGCAATATTATTCAGAGAAGACAAAGCCTGAAAAGCGCTGCGCCATGTTATTCTTTCCCTCATTATGCAGTTTCTGCAGGTCTGCATGAGCCTATACGCACTGCTCAGTAACCTATATAAAACACATCTGCTAAAATTAAAGTCCAGAGAATAAATAATAATACACTCTAAAAAATGCTGGGTTGTTTCAACCCAACTTTGGGTCAAATATGGACTAACCCAACCGTTGGGTTAAATTTTTACATTAAATTTTTAACCCAAAAGTTGGGTTAGTCCATATTTGACCCAAAGCTGGGTTGAAACAACCCAGCATTTTTTAGAGTGTATTATTATTTATTCTCTGGACTTTAATTTTAGCAGATGTGTTTTATATAGGTTACTGAGCAGTGCGTATAGGCTCATGCAGACCTGCAGAAACTGCATAATGAGGGAAAGAATAACATGGCGCAGCGCTTGTCCATATTTGACCCAAAGTTGGGTTGAAACAACCCAGCATTTTTGTGAGTGTATTAAGTGTGAGTCAGGGTCAGAAATCATATAGGCCTAAGTTTGAAAAATAAAAAAAAATTAACAGACCCTTTATATTTAATCTGGGGACAAATAAAGCAGTGATTTCTTTTATACTCAGATTAAGCGTTTTTTTAATATAATAAAATATTAAATCACCTCTGAAAACAGGCAAACACTTGAAATACTAAACCATAAACAGCAATTATATAAAAACGTAGTCTACTGTGATCTACTGTGTGACAATATGTCTAGCAAATTATTTACATTTTTATCCAGTAGTGCTTTTTTATTATTATCATTTATTTGCAGATAGACTGTACTTGGAATTCATTTGGTAACAACTGTAATTGTTGCAGACTGAAAATGTGTTTAATTAAAGTATTTGGCATACATTTTATGAAAATGCCCTTGTGCAAGTAAAAAGACCCTAAAAATAAATTCTTAAAAATCTAACTACTAATATCAATGTGAATCTATATATTTACTAATATGTATATGCAGAATATCAGTCTATTAATTGTCAGATAACATTAATTATCAGGCCTTGTAATCTTTGGAAAGCATCAAAATATCTTGAAATTGTGAAACATTTTTAAAGTGCATATGTCACTATAATAATTATGTAATCAATCATTTGAAGAAATCACATTATTGGTGATAGGTCTGTTTTCAGTTAACGTTTTGCTGTTTCTTTTTCTAATCATCATTCCTGACAACTTAAAGGCAGATTACAGTATGTGCTTCTTCTCAAAAAACACATAATGGGATTTATCCCAAATTATCCTGCTCTGCTGAGGAGGAAAAGCAATTAGGCTTCAAAGGAAAGATAATGTCCACTCACACTGGAGGGTTGTTGGTGCATGGTCCCATGGGCAACACCTTCACTGTCAGAAACCCATTAACTCTTCCAGGGTAGGAATTATCATTGGCAGCCAAAACCTTCAATAGCCTCAGCATTTATCTACTGCTTGTAATTTAAGTGATTCATATATCACAAACCTTTATTATGATATCATAACTTTATTGTGATATATAATAGTAAAAATGAAATGAAGTAATATTTCTGTGTGGATCAAGTAAGACGTCATAATTAAAAGAGCTCTGACTTTATCTTTGCAGGCGAATTTATTATATAAAATATTATATAAATGCTATTCATAACGTACGTAAGATAGGCTGTAGCCTATACTATACTAACCTTTCTACTGGTCACTATGTTAATTAATGCTATATCGAGAATATTAGTGACATCTAGCGACAGAAAGTGATTTGACAGTGCAGGATTTAACTTGCACCTTTGCTGAATTTCATGATGAGACTAAATAGATTTATTCATTTATTTATTAGTATTTTTACATTTAAATCCACAAAATCTCCACAAAATGTTCATTTATATAGGTTAACCATTGTGCTTCTTACTGAAAATGTTTGCAACTATCTGTAGCAATTTGTACTTTCACTAATAAGTTTATAATATTATATTTAATTTTAAACATGGTATTTTATGGACAATCAAAAATGAAGTGCATTAAATTTATGGATAATACACAAAAATATGTATTATTTTTTTATCATGATATTTAATTTCCAATATTTTGAGAAAATAAAACAGTTATGTTTATTTTGCACCTTACGAAAATGGTTATCATACATTTGCACCCAGCTGTACTTTCTCTTGTTTAAAATCTCTGAAGCTCTGTTTCCTTCTCAGCCACAAGGTGGAGACATACACTAATGTTTCATGAATAAAAGGCATGTTATCTTGTAAACATGGCTATTATGCCAAGTGTAATTTATACCCTTTCTGTTGTTTATATTTCAATCCCACCTGCAACAAAGGATATCTATATAGTTGTTTTTAACGATTTTAAAGGCGGTGTCAAAGGATAAGAGAGCACTTCTTTTCAACTGGATTGTAAATAATGAGACAGATCAAAATGTTCATAAATGTTTGGGATGAACCTTGAATTCTGAGGATGTTGTGTGAACTAGGCAGCTAATCTATTTTTGAACGAGTATGTAGTCTTCTTAATAAGGATTATTTTGTACGGTCTCTATGCTGTTATTCGGCCGTCGTTAGGGGGAGGAAAACTGGGTGTTGCCGTTTTTTTACGTCGACTGAATCCAAGCAGCAACTCACACGGAGATTGAGTTCAGTCAGCGCGAGCACTGCATAACGGCTGCTTCATCGAGACACTTCTTCGTTAACCGACTTTAAAAACATCCTCCAGAAACCGACACCATGGGCGTGGAAGGCTGCACGAAATGCATCAAATACATGCTCTTCTTCTTCAATTTCATCTTCTGGGTGAGTGGCCATTCATTTTGTGCAGCGGTCCTGTGTCTGGCCTGAGAAACCGCCATTGGTTTTCTGTATTAAGAGGATTGTTTATCCTTCATGTTATGAACCGGAATTTAAATTGCGCCGCTAATTTTGATTACGGAAAACGCATGACCCTGTAACGTTAACTTCTGCTATGACTAATTAACGGCAAATTAAATTGTTTTAAATAATGTTATAGATGTTTTATGTAGAATATACATATCTATTATAGAATCGCTACGACAAAATTATAAAAAATATAACAAAATAAAACAAAAACTGCGCACAGTAAACCGACCTCGCCGCGAAAAGAACGGACAAGGGGCGAGGAGTCCAGCAACAAGATTTCATCACAGCTATTTAAAGACTAGTCTCGTGTTTATTACACCCGTCAAACTTACTATTTTCTTTTACTTGTTATGTTTTTAATATCACAAAACTACGCTTTTAACTAATACTTTAGCATTTCACACTCGGCGACACAATGAAGTAATAAAATAGCGCAGTAATAAAATTGGCGTAGTCTCTGGTCCCTCCCACTCGAGGTAGTTTGGAAAAGAACCTGGAAAAGTGAATGGCAATAAAATATTCCACCCAGCCAGACCCTGTTGAGAGTCTTAGTTCATCGTGCCATAGTCATAACTAGTCATGTTGACCGTTCCTTCATCTCAAAGTGGGTTTTGTGACTCATTTCCGTTTAGGAACTTACACTTACTAAACAGTTAGATATAAATCAATCGTGGTGGATTTCTTTAGAAGTGTACAGTGTTTCAGTGTATGTCTTATCTACAGCACTTTCTAAATTGTTGGTAAAGCATTTACAGTGTCATCTTAAAATCTGGTTGATTAATCGGGTTTCAGTTTTCATTTTACAAATTAGTCTCTTGGTAGGTGATTTCTAAATCAAAGAAACCATTGTGTTACTACATTGATACGTAAGAAGGTATTAAAGAATGATATGTTCTAAAACTAAACTTTTTTTCTTCATGTTCTTCCCAGAAAGTGCCTCTGTGAACAATAACGTTGCAGCGTTTAGGCCCATTACCACCAAGCACAATAGCTATTTCTATAAAGTTTTAATAATCATTCTAATTTTATGAGAATAGCAAAGCACAGTCGAACGATATCACTGGAATCACTTTAATAATGGTTTTTTTTTCCCCAGCTGATGAATGATGAAAACATTGGCGGCCAATTAGAATCCACTCGATATTAAAGAGCTAGCATTTGAAGCAACAGACAACATAACTGCAGCTCACGCTCATGATAATCAAAACCACAGCTATAACAATAACGACACAGAGGATCAATATTGTTTGAATCACTCTTCAAACTACTTCTTCCATCTGATGAATGATAAAAACATTGACAGTCAGAGTCCATCCGACTTTAAAGAGCTTGAGCATTTAAAGCAGTGGACAACGTATCAACAGTATGTATTAGAATATACAATGTTTGGTGTGTATCATCATTGTTATAGTTATCTTCATACTTATCGTTCTTGATGTGAATGAGCCTTTAGACACATTGAGAAACTAAATCTTAAAGCCAATAAGTACCTTGTGGCGAAACAAGAAACCAACTTCACCAGAAAGCATAGGAATATTTTCCCGCTGGCTAATGGGTTTAACACCCATGCTGATTTCTCTACAGACCCAACAGGTGGTGAGACCCCTCATGTGTGAATGAACATGGCAAAACAGCATGATGGCTTCCTACCTTGAGGAATTTTGCTTTGAGAACTGACCCATAGAGATGGTGATGGAAAAATACCTATAAAGAAGGTGTTAGATCTAAGAGTCCATTGCCAAGCCCATAGGATGAGTTTGACAGTACATTGTGGTTAATGGAGGATGTGTGCGGGGGTTTGACAGAAGGTCTGGGCCTTCTACTTCTGAGCCTCATGCTTTGACATGCCAAGCATTCTACAACCACCTCACACTGGGTCATGTGTCAAAAATAGAAGCAGCACCAGACTGCTGGCAACAGAAGGGAGAAGTATGAGAAGGGGGCTCTGATTTTAAGACCCATACACAGGCTGATAACTGTGCTTGAGAGATAAGGGGAAGTGTGTGTGTGAGGGTGGATGCTAATTTCGTCATGTTGCAGGAAATATTAAGCAACATGGTGCAAAATATTTTTCATATACTAACTTTATCCATGCCATTGGCCTCTACTGGTTTTACTTTGGCAACCCACTTATAAAAGTAAAAAATAGTTTATAGCTGGCTTCCGATAATGAGTAATCTAGAAATAGAGTAAATTGTAACAAAGAAAAGTTCTTTAATAAATCTACTACTACTAGTCAAGATGTAGCTGATTGGAGGAACATTTGTTTTTTATGGTATAGTTGCATGCTTTTTTTAGGGCTACTGTATGGCTTATGCAAAATGGTACTTAAAACTAATGATGTATGGTTTATTAATGTGGTCTTTTTGGCTGTGTATTGTAATTATTAATTGGATAGTACATAGACTTGTTGTTTCTGGTAATACAGTTCATGCAAATTGCACCAATCAGCCTCATGCATTTGAGGAAGTGTGTGTTGTTCTGTAATAATTGCCTACTCATTACACCTACGTAGGCTATTATTATAATTCAGAATGATTATATTTGTGTATGTGCACAAACCTTGTGACTGTCCTCTATTATTCTTTCCCTCAGGGTCACACTTCCTTCCTTATCAGGAAGGTAATTCTCAAAATATTGATGTTCTGCTCTGCAGAAATGCTGTAAAACACTTGGGTAAAATAAAATTGAATTAAATTTAAAAAACACTGTTAAACAGGCTGCAAATATTTAGAGCATAAGAACTAGAGGGAACATGTTTATGTAATTAGTTTTAAAAAAGTATTTTGTTCTTGTGTTCCCTGAAAACACGTGCTACAGCTGGTACACTTACTGGTTTTATCAAGTTTTAACCAGTAGAACCCCATAAACCTGGGCAAAAGTATCAATTATTATATTATATTATTATTATATTAATTTAAACAGTTATTATCAAACAGTTATTTAAACTGTGTGTATATCAAACTGCATGTTTTCTGCGTAAAAATAAGGGTCGTTTTTGGCTTTAGACTAAAACAAAAAGCAGAAGGGTTTATTGAAAAATGCTAATTAATTCTCTCTTCATTCTTCATGCTTTTCGCCAGGAATATAGCCATTTCCCCGGTAACCGCAGTAAACAAAGTAAATTTTGCAACTTGCAGTGCTCAAATTTCATCAATTAAACCATAGCCTTTTGAAGTGTAAGCTATATCTCAATTTGCATGTATATTTGTTTTTTTTCACCGGAGCACTACCTGAGTCTTCTCCTCCCGTTCCATTTCTACCAGTGATCCTTTCCTTCCCGCGGTACTCATCACTGTCGTAGGTTGCCAAGTTGAGGGGACAAATGGGTTGAAATTTGTATGTGTCGATTGTGTGAGAAGGATGCGTTTGATATAATAATGATATAAAATGTTATGTATGTTTTCTATGTGAGTTTGCTGTTCTCAATTAAATAGCTGAATTATACAAAAAACAAAAATGTTTGTCCTTGTATTAAAGTCACCATAAAATCAATATTGATATTTTGGAATGTTGTTGTGTTTATTATAAATAATTTATCTGTGCACATCTTTTTTTTTTCTTCTTCAGAATTTTTTTTAAATATCTTCATGTGCCCTCCTTTTAATCAAAAACGTTAATGTGCCCATCTTCTCACAACAACGTTATGTAAATCGCCGTGAGGGCTGAGCTTAAGGTCGTCTAATCAGTCCAACAACCTGTCACTCACATGAAACGATTTAAGCAGTTAGCAAATGATCCAATCATTTCCTAATAGATAAAATCAAATCCCACCCAACATTTGTTTTCTCATTTGAGAAGCAGTTTTTTTTTTCATACAACAGATTAGGGTTGGGTGATATAGCTAAAAAATGTATCAATGATATAATGTTTCATATCGTTCGGTATCGATAATTTTGGACATTTTTTATAACCTTTTTTAAAACAAGAAGCAATATAATTTTTTTTTTTTTTTATTTAACCACTCTATTTATAATTAACACAATTTATTGAGACAAACAACAAATATTTTTATACCGTTTTATCGCCCAGGCCTACAACAGATTTAACCTGTAGTCTTGTATCACCAAGCATTTAGTGGTTGTCATTTCTGCAATGATTGAGTAGTCACTGTTCATGATTTTTTCTGTGTAAACAGGCCATTTGATGTTTTTAAAATTCACAATAAAATGACAAAAAAGTTGTAATTCAATCAGTTAAAGTTTTTATGAGCATACTCAGCTTTTATTTAAAAGCATTATAGCATGGATTGCCATATTATTGCCTGTAATAGCTTGTTATATGGACAAATATCCTGTATGACAAATAGATTATTATTAAATTAATCTTTGTGTTTTGCTCTACAAAATAAATGGCATTTCCTGCTTTTTTCCTACATAAATTCAGTTAAAGTATGGAAAGTGAGAAGAGAGAATGCCCCCAGATCGCCCCACAAGAATTATGTCTTATTCTGGTTATAGCTCCCCCTGACACCTCTGGTCAACTGGAACCTCTTGTGTTTAGGGGAATCGCTTCTGTCTACTCAGATATTCCCGAACTCATTATGAGTGAATGTAATGTGGAATCCACCGAGGACGGGTTGCTTAAAGTGACAGAGCCTCTCCATGAACCATCATTTCAAAACCTCTCCCTTTGGCTGGCCCTCTGTTTACTCAGTTGCTAAGCAGCAGGCTGCCTGAGCTCTGGAATGGGTCTATCTGGCCTTTGGAGAGAGTGAGAAAGACAGAAAGAGAATTGGAAGGAACTCTTTCTCTCACACTTTTACCCTCTGTGGAAAAGGTTTTTCTCCCCTGTGTTTGGCTGGAGAGAAAGTTCCTTATTCAGAAATTGTTTATGGATAAACAGCCTCACACACTATCCAGCATGCTAATGCACAAGTTTAGGCAAATTAAAATATACAAGTAAATAAAACAGATGACATGAAATAATATTTTTATAAAGTTATTATACTATTAATTTTACTGTTATAGTATTTATTAAAATTTTGAATTAGATTTAAATTTTACATATTTCGTTTTTATTTTAATTTTATTTAAAAAAAATTATATTCTTGTTTATTTCTTTATTTTTCTTATTCATTTCAATGGAGTTTATTTAGTTTATTTTTATTTCAGTTTTATTTTTTTAGCAATTTTAGTACTTCAACTTGTTTGATTTCATTAAGTTGGCAAAGCAACATTTCTATTTTTTTAAGTTTAACTTTTCATCTACTATTTATCTTTTATTTCAGCATAATTTTAATTGACAAGAACAATTTTAATAGTTTTAGTTTCAGTTACTGATAACAGTTGTTATAAATGCTCAAAATCCTCTGTCTTGATTTTTTGTAGAGGAGGGGCTCTGGTTTCTTTATTACATCAACAGGTGTGAAATACCAATGACAATGGGAAAAAGCATTTAGAGAGAAGAGAAAGTGCTCCCCTCGTGATCCTTTATCGGGGGTGTGGTGTGTAAGAACTGCACCAACAAATGCCTTTTGGTTTGACCTGGGGTGAATAGCTGTGGCGATGCAGCTGTTCGCAGATGTACTGTAGGACTGGTGCGAGTGCTGGATTCTTGATTAAAAGGGGTTACAGAACGAGAGAATTAAAAGGAAGGAAGTACAAGTCCATTGTTTTCACAGCCAGAGCTGAGCAATCTGCCCATCCCAGCATTCCTGCTAATGGTCTTTGCTCTGTCTCACATTCCCGGTACTCTCCCCCGTGCGGTGTAGCTAGATCTCTTTTGCTTCTAACGGCACCCACCAGGTTCTTGGCGGTCTCTAGTGCACTTTATCTGCGCACTGCATTCCTCCACAGAGCCTACGCATTCCTGACGAGATCCAGCTGCTCTCAGAGGGCCCAGCTCTTGTCTGATTTGACAGTGATTTCACTGTAAATAAAGCCGTATAAACAAAGCCAAATAAACCTCTGCTGCTTGTCACGCAGCTGCCCCTCCCCCACCCGAACTTTCCTGCTTCTTATCCGCTCGCGCATATAATACCACACATTGTAGCACTACTTTAAATGGTCTTCTCAGCTGCCTACGCCCTCTTTCCTTTCCCCGCTTTTCTATCTCTCCCTCCCCCTAGCCGCAAGAGTCTGTGAGCACCCTCTCTCGTGAATATGCCATGTGTTTATGAGCCTCACTCAACTGAATGCTCATCACTGTGAGCCATGTGAAGAGAAAAGCGGGCTCAACCATACTGTGATGTTTTGATATTCTTAACCCTCGGCACTGTGGGCCTCTAGATGGGGTCTGTAACAAGATCCTTCCCTTCCCCCGCCTCACAGAATGTGTCTCCTTTCTCTTTGTTGAATGGAAAATAAGCAGACTACAAGAGATAGACCCAAGGAGACTGACAAAATGCATCCACACACCACTTTAAGAGTCAAGATGAAGAAGAAAGTTGTGTTTGAATATGTGAACGCCTAAATATTAGGAAAAAACAACACGTACAAAGTTTGCAAAAAGATTCACTGGTTTTGTTTGTGCCATTAATAACTGTGATTAAATGTGTTCAAATTTTTCTTCCTCTCTCTGTGTTTTTTATAGCTGGCTGGTTGTGTAATCTTGGGGGTTTCGCTCTGGCTTCGTCATGACAATAAAACAAGCAGTCTTCTGGAACTGAAGTATGAGGACACAGAAGCACCCAGCACCTTCTACATCAGTAAGAGATCAGTTTCTCGAGTTCACATTATTATCCTCTTTTCTCATTGAATCTCATTTGTTTTCCATCTCTCATTCCTTAGTCTCTCAACCCAGTCTGAAATCCTGCCGCTTTATGTGGTCACATAAAGTGGTTTGACACAGTCTCTTATGAATAATTTTAATACATTTCTTTACACAGGATTATCTGAGTGTTCTCCATTTTTCCTCTGGGTGGCAAACATGTTTTATTAGCAGTTCTAATTAGCAATGCATTGAAATTTTGGCAACGGAAAATATTTGGTCGAAAAAGCAAAAAAAAAAAATTCGTGCACCCAACGTGGATAAGGTAAACAAGTCAGCTGTGTGGATGTCTAGACACAATTCACTTAGACTGCAAATAGCAATATGTAAAATTTGTTAAGCTGAAATATTGAGAGGACGCTCATTACTGAAGAACTTTACAATAGCTGCGTTTCCAGTACCCTTCAAATTGCGCAACTTGAAATTGTAAATTGAAAACACGCCTGATGGAAACATGTCAATTTCGTAAAAACTCCCATATATCGCAATAAAGTTTGTACACTCGCATTAGGTATTTTTTCAGGCAATTCGAAAAAGGAATATATTGGAATATATACAAAACTGCAATAGAATTTTTTTTTTACAGGTCACCTACGTAATACGAAAAAATCACATGATCATTCTTTAATGTACTATAACCTCCAGGAAACACCTCATATGTGGCCGCTCTCAAGTATAAGGGGCTTTCCTTGCCATTAATGCTTGGAAGGATAACTCCTTATTTACACTGCACACATAATGCGGCATGTAAGAATCCCAGACGTGGCTCTCCGTGCTGCTTTGCTAAAGATACACGTATACGTCTCCTTTGATTAAAAATAATGGCTAGTGCAGTGGCTGCGATATACGTAAACCTACCAACATCCATCACCATGACTTATCGCAAGAGGGAAAAATTACGTTTTAGTCATTTAGGAAACGGCGTAATTTCGCAATAGTTTTTTATTGACATTTATAAATATTGTAAAAGTTTTGTCCAAATCTGTAATGGAAATGCACATTATGACTGGTTTAATTTATTAGTACCTAAATTTACATACCGAAACTTTATTTTTAGTTTCGTTTTTTTGCGTCACTAGTTCCAATGTTTTCGTTGAGTGAACAGGCACACTAAGAATAAACACAGTAGTGTTAAACACAGATGCTGCTCTTGCCCAGTGATTCCTATTGCATTTTTTTTTATTTCCTTTGTTTTAAAGTGGCACAAAGATCCATTTTATTACATTTATACAGTATGTGTCTAAAAGTAAATAAAACTATAAAAATAAAGAAAGAGAACTTTTGCTCAATAAATATTTAGCTCACTGGATAACTGTATTGGTGAGGAGCAGTGAACCAAGCAGTGACACACACCCAAATGAATTTTGTATTTTCACCCACAAGAGAAGTCAGTTGAAACACATAACAGAAGAAATGCTCACTTTAGTACTAGCTGTAGCTGATGGTTTTGCGTCTGTAAAGGTTTTAAAGTTTTCCGCTGTAGTTTCCACAACAGTACAGATGGTTCCGTTTCTTCCCAGTGATTGATGACAAGTGAATTTCCAAATACAAATCTACAGATCAGTTGACGTCCATGGAAAACTGATTAGATGGTTCACCTGGACATTTGTGAGGTCAGAGGTTAGTGTCAAGGACTCTTACAGACGCACAAGTGGGCTGTTTCTGATGGCGACTGTTAAAAGCATTTTGTTTTTTCAGGAAGGCCTTGTGTCTGTTAAGGCACAGAGGTTAACAAGTGGGTAAACAATTCTCCAGTTCATGTCAAAGCTATTATAAGACCTAATATTTACTGAGTCGTGGATTTCAAGAGAGAAATCTCTTATCTATACCGGAAGTGTCAACAAAAACTATTTAAAGGAATAGTTTATTCATCTTTTTGTTTATTCATCTTTTTTAATTTTTTTTCTAGATGACTTTTAATGCCTTGCAAATGTCAACATTGTGCTTATTATTATTGTAATATTGTTATTGCAAATTGTGCTGATTTAAATATGGCACCACCAAGGTTGGCTTGACATAGTTGAGTCATGTACAGTAGGCCATTGTTTTCCAGCTATCAGTTAGTATTTTTTAAATGCAACATTCAATAAAATATACAGAATAAAAAAATACTGTAATATTTTAAAATAAATATTATAAATATTGTTTGGCACACAAAAGTACATGTAAGACTTTAGAGCATAGTATAAAAGAGGCACTGATGAGGAAATAGAGTGGTCTATCGCCATTCTTATGTTTTGTTGCAATATACCTCTTAAAAAAATCTCTTTTCTCATTTTATTTTAGCTTAGCGGTGTATTTTGTCTTGTGATACATTAAAACTATAATTTAAGTAAAGGTGTCTGCTTTCTCAGACTGTAAAAAAAAAAAAAAAAAAACTCCTTGTCACTTTTGTGAAAACGCTGTTCTCTTTCTCTTTTTCTCTCTTTGGTCTTCAAGGTACTTGCCAGAGTTTTTTTCAGCTAGATCACTTTACCTGCTTTATGGAAAACACGTGGCTCACACTCATCCAAAAGTGAAACCTAGTTTTTCGACATGTTTGTTAATGAGCATATAACTAATGGAAACAGGAAAATCTAATTTAAGAGCCACAATTACACAGGGTTTATACTGTATGTTCTCCTTCTCTGTGCCCCTTTCCCAATCCCCTACCCCCATCAACATACAATTTCTTTCTTCTGGAATGCAGAATATTATCTTTGTTTTGCTCAGTTGGATATATTTTTGCAGCTCTGTGTGCTAAAGGGAGGAGTTTAATACTTGTGGCCCTGCTTAGGGTTTGGAAAATGTGAAATTCACAGTGAGTCATGTTAAGTATTTCCTGAACATTTAGGGCTGGTTACAGATGTGACTAACTGTGTGTGTTTGTGTGTGTACATCTTGTGTGTATAAGTGAATATAGCTTATACAGTACTGCTAACACACCTCATTGGGCTGCTTGAAACAAAATATTTGTGTTTCATATCATTTGAAACTCATTTTCAACAGCTATTAACCACAACTTTGAACCTAATTGTAGTTTATAGGAGTTTTAAACAAAGGTTTGGGAGGAGCATGTTCCTCTAATCCTGCCAGTCACGATGCAAGAGTCAGCATGTATAAATGGCTGCTTAACTCACACCAGTAAAAAATGATTCAGGCATCCCTTTACCACCCCATCTCCACCTTTGTGTCAATTTTATTACTGATTCATGTATAAGTCCATGGGAGTTAGAGCTTGACAGCTTGAGCCCTTAATCATGAACAGCAATCAATTTCAATTTCAAAATACATATATAGTTTCAAACACACTTTATCTCACAAAATAGTTATATAAACATGTCACAAACATTAATAATGTTACAAAATATTTTTATTTCAACCTGTTGAACATTCTATTTACAAACAATCTCAAAAAAGTCAAAATTTTCACAAACATATTAAGCAGTACAACTGTTTTCAACATTTCAGAAAAATATAATAATAATTAAAAAGGATTTTAATATTTTTTTATTTTGAATATTAGCTGGAAATTATACAGATAATATGCAAAACATTACTGAGTATGTGGGGAATTTAGAGACAACAAAACAAAAGTAAATAAAATGTGTTTTTTTTAGAAGAAGAACTGATGTGACGTCATTTTTAGTGGTCGACCGATATTGGTTTTTTGACAGCCGATGCCAATATCTTGGAAAGCCGGGTGGCCAATGGCCGATATAAAGCCGATATAATTTTATTTATTTTAATTAATATTTAAGAAATTTGAAATCATTTGAAAATGGATTAAAAAATAATTTTGTAAAATAAACATACTTATACTTTAGATGACAAAGTATATCAAAATAAAAGTCCCGCCTCGAACACATCGGCCCAACAGAAAAACTTATCGGCCGATGCCGACATTTAAACAATGCCAAATATCGGCCGATATATCGGTCGACCACTAGTCATTTTGATCAACATCCAGTCCAAAACTAAGTTTGTTTGGAGTTTGAAACAACTTGTCAAAGTGAACTTTCTGGAACTACCATTGGTCGCTAAAAGTTCCGCTGCTCAGGTATTTCAAACTTCTTTTTACCCCTAAGCGAAAAAATGACAGAATGCGATTTAGAACTCAGGTTGAAACAGAACAAGTATACTGTGATCTATTGTCTGTCTGCAAAGTGCAAAGATGCCATGTAAGGAGCTGCAGATGAAACATTACAGCTCTCAGCATCTTAATGTGAGGAAATGGCCTGCAGCCAGCAGCTCTACACACCCTGCCTTGCTCTTTATGGAGTGTAATGTGAGAGAACACAACTAGAGCTCAAGTCCATCAGAGAAAGAGCGGTGGGCGGCTCCAGGTGGGGAAGCTTTTTGCTCTGAATAGAATTACGCTTGTCTCTTTAAAAGTCATCACTTCGTCTCATAGCTACAAAATAGTATGCGATTAAAGAATAGGCACTCATAAATAGTAAATAGTAAAAGTCAATCATTCATTTCCATAAAGCAGTGTTGTGATATTTACTACTCATGAATACATTATGTTCTAGAAACAGAGTCAGGTGAACACAAACTCCATGACTGAAAATATCCAAAGACTCATCATTGTCTCTGTTGTACAAACATTTGAGACTCTTTCCCTTCTCTTATCTTTTCTTGAGCGATTCCCATCAGCCAGTGTGTAAGCCTCATGGTGGTGTGTGGTCAGGTCAGCCTTTCCCTGAAAATGCCTGCTGCTGAGTGTGAGGGGGAATGGAGCTGGCCCGGGTGACTCAATTATTCCATAATGGCAGGGGAGGGATGTATCCATAGCAACTAAATTAGATGAGTGAGTGCTGCTGTACTTAAACACTACAGTTTGGATAAGACTGGATTCAGGACTCAAACAAATATGACATTAGTGCCATTAGTGCTTCTTCTAGCTGTATTGGCTCTTTGGGTACACAAATTTGGCAACTAATCATAGGGCTCTTT